CCCCAAAACCCCAAAACCCCACCCCAAAACCCCAAAACCCCAAAACCCCTTTATTAATCATTAAGGATGACGACAATTAAATAATAATTAAAGATGGATAAACTCATTGCTTTCACTAACAAAACAGGTATTGTTACTCAACTAGCCTTTCTCATATTGCATAGAGGGAAGAGACAAGTTCTGTAAGGCTGTTCAGTATGGCGCCAGAGTCGTTAAGTGGTATCTTGAAGGAAAAGATGAGGAACTCAAGGCAAGGTTCACCGGTCTTTTCAATAACATGAAGACTGCCAGAAAGTTGTTCAGACTTTTCAAGAGTGTCAATGAGTATCAAAAGATTATGAATATTCTTGGTAAGGGAGCTCAGTCTCAAACTGATATCATCAATGCTGCTTCAAGACTTTGCTTCTTGCTCTACTGGTTCTTTGATAATCTTGTGGTTCTCTCTTCAGTTAAGTTCCTCAACTATGATGCAAAGCAAATGAACAAATATGGAGCCTTCTGGTGGCTTTGTGGACTTATCCTCGGCCAAGCGGTTGCCTTCATCAAGCTCTCAGAACTAGCAGATCAAGAAGCCGCTCTTAGAAAGAAGGAAAGAAACGATGAAACTAAGAAAGCACTCGTACAGATTCAGGCCAAGAAGTTCACAGAGTACCTCAACATCATCAAGCAAGCAGGAGATATGATCACCTCTTCCCAAGCTATCGAACTACCAGCCAAATTCGGATTCAACTTCAATGACGGAGCAGTTGGAATGGGAGGATTCGTCAGTGCAGTTGTCACTATGTACCAGCTCTACCCATAAATTATCTACAAAAAATGCTTCCAAATCTTCTTTTCCTTCTAGATACACACACCTATTCCTAAAATCTTCCCTTTTTCCTTCCTTAACCCCCAATTCCCCCATCTTCCCTCCCTCCTAAGCTGCCCATTTCCCCTCTACTAAGCTATCCCAGGCTGGCTTCCTAAGGATCAGGCCAAAATAAGGAATTACGTCATAGGCTTCCCTAAACAAAGAAAATAAGCTCAATTCCGCTGACGCCTAAAGGGGTTTTGGGGTTTTGGGGTTTTGGGGTTTTGGGGTTTTGGGG